TATTTATTTATTTATTTATTTATTTATTTATTTATTTAAAACAAAACAAATCTAACTAAATCTTGTTATTAAGACCAACAGGAGAGGTCGAGAGGGTAGGTTTATATTTACACAGATTTCAGTGGAATCACTAATAGGATGATCAGGCAAGAAGATCAAATCCTCAGGCTCTGATACATCTACCCCCACCCCCAGCTGCAGAGACATTTCCAAAGAGAAATCAATGAATGTATACCATCATAATGCATGCATGCATGCATGTATGCATAAATAAATAAATAAATAAATGTATCAAGGAAAATGGGATACATCGCTGATTCATGTACATTCTTGGTTCAGTTTCTTTATCACTTTAAGTATGATAGAATATCTGAAGAATGAATGGGGAAGAATTGACTTTTTAAATATGTAGTGAGACATAGAAAATGCAATGTACTGTTGCCTGCCTTTGCTGAGAATTACAATGCAGAAACATACACAGAAATGCCATGAGCTTCTATGATTTTTAATTTTTGTATGTTGCTAATGTTCAACCTGAATCTATTTTGGAGATAAAGATTGAGATTTCTATCCTGTTCTCTGAACATCTAAGGAATTGTGAAGAACATTGAGAGTTTTGATACCTGAAAAGTCTTTCATACACCCAAGTCACACCATTCAGGTGAAATCCAATAACATTTTTCCCTTTTGTCCCCCTGAGGAAGAACATTTCAAGAATACCAGGGAAAGCTCAGAAGCATGCCTAGTATTAGACTGACAGAATAGCTAGTCTAACTGAAAGCCTTTCTCATTATTTTGGAACTTTCCCAATTAATTCCACAAACCAAATGTTAGAGAGACCTTAGATATTTACAAGCTCCGTAATACTATTTAGCTATTCAGCACTGTGTCAATAAAGCTTAATTTAGATTGTTCCATCCAACACTGACTACTAGTGTAAAGCACAGCTTCTAGGTATATCCATGTTGATTCAACTTTATTACTTAGCCTTAGAATCAATATGACTATCAGAAGCTACATAATAGTTTTTAGGCAATACTGATTACATTTTCATATTCACTTATACACCACTACTAGTCTCTCATGCGTGACCTGTGTGAGTCATAAGTATATGTATGTATACCTGCTCATATTCATCCTTCGTTAACTTTGCTTTGCCTTTGTATCTTTCTTTCTGCCATCCCAATAATGTTTCCTGTGTCCTATCTAAAATTAAAATGTATCTCATCCATTATTTGCAAAGTCAGCATTATTATTGGGTTTGAGTTTGTTTGTTTTGATTTTTAGACAAGAAGCCCTCCAATCTTTTAGTGCTGTTCTTGGCTGTACTCCCCCCCTCACACACACACATTCACATGCCAAAAAATAAGCTTCCTAGGGATGGTAGGAAAAGACAGAGGTGAATTAAATCAATCAGCCTGCCAAATGGGGACCAAAGACAATGTGTAAAAATGAAAACACTAGAGGTTGCTCCAAACACTTTGGTTCATTGCAACTGACTGAATGCCAGTCTATTTTTAAAAGGACTGCTGACAGTCAATGTCAGTCACTGAATTCTCCAGGTCCTATGGCCTGCCCTGAACTTTGTTCAATTATTCATATTATTCAGCCTGCTAGTGCCTTATTATTTAGAAAAGCTTTATGTACAATAGGTCTAGGAATGTATATTTATAATGTCAATAATTGTATGCAATTGTTGAGACTTATAAATATACATTTACATACTCAAATATACTCTTCCTTACAGACTTATGTAAGAAAGAGAGTAATGTTTCACATAAAATTCTCAGTATAGGAAAAAACTGTGGCTCCTTAAGAAGAGAGAGGTTCATTTATTACCCCATAATTTTATTTTTTTCACTAGGAAAATGAACTGATATCAGTAGGAACAATAGTACATGACTATTCCTTAATTTCATACATCATCCATAACATTTTATATGTTGATTTAATGCATCTTGATTTCTAAACCTATTGATAACATCAGGAATGGTAGTGTTGATTGCAACTTGGAATCATTATATTGTGTATCGTAGAAATACAATTTTTATTATTGCTGCCACATTGCTTCTTACTAAGAGACAACTTGAGGAATTTACTGAAAAACATTTTTGTAATGCCCTGACATATTTAAAATTGCATCTTGGGTCCTCACAGTAGACCCTTCAACATAGGAATTTGACCAAGAATAATGATATTTGAGATCTGCATTTATTTATTTATACTTAACATTTATAAGCTGCCCAACTCCAATGATTCTGGGAGGCTTAAGATATAAAAACAGTTTTAAAAAGTCACTAATACCCCAAAAGACAGCATAATCCAGAGGGAACAACAATACCTCATTATTCTAGATAGGCAACAAAAGCCCCTCTCCCCACCTCCCTAATTCATGGCCTGGGAGAAGAGTAAATGGGAAGGCTTTGGTTGCCTATTTAGAATAATTTATTTTTTAAAACACATAAATGTTCAAGGAATAATAACAGCAAAATCTAAAATGGGAAGGAAAGCATATATTTTAACAAGGAAACTACTTAAAAATTGCAAGTATGTAACTCATTGTTCAGGATGAAGTCAGAACAGTTAAAAATACTAATCAATTTCTTTGTTAACCTCAGGTGACAAGACAAAGGCATTCAAGCTCTTTATAAGTAGTAATAAATTTCAGTTTGCATGTATTGTGACTGTTTAGGGCAGAACATGTTAGATATATACATTTTAAATCAAAATCAATACTCAGTTTCTTGAACCATATAACTACTACTACAAGTCTTGAAGGATATACACATGTGGAGATCATTGATTAAAGTATAAATAGATTTTTACAAGCAGTTTACATAAAGTTAACTAGCAACATAGGAGTATATCCTATTCCCATTAAGCTAAATGGAAGGAATCAATTGGGCTTCAAAAGGAGCCAGACTGAATGCGTATAAAGACTTTATTATTATTCAGTAAAACAGATCCTTATACCATTGTCAAACAACAAATCAATTTTCATGATGCTTTTATATGTCTTTGAGATTGATTGGAAATTATACATTTTACTAATGGCAGCACTAAAAATTATCTCGAACAGTGGTCTCTTAAAAACACTTTAGATAGTACAGAATAAACAACTCAGTATCTGAAAGTTTTTCATGTCTAGGACTCATTCAGGGTTGCTGTACTTTTATATATTGATGAACAATGTATTGGGTGGGTAGGTAAGTAGGTAGGTAGGTACGTAGATATTCTATTTAAAATGCAAAACAAACCAAACAAATCAGAGAAAAATACAAAAACATAAAATCAATGAATAGTTGCTGTGTTTTTAAAAAATGTATACTTAAATGGTTGGCTGTAGCTAAAATGACACTGATATTTACATCTTTAATTTAATTATGTTTATATATTGATCCAGCCCAATAAATATAAAATGAAATAACAATCAGACCTAAAAAAGGAACAGATAAATTTGAAGATTAAATACAGCATACCAATATTTTTTTCTGTATTTGACAGTTATCCAAGCTAACAACACTCCTACATTCCAATAGCAAGAAACTAAAGAAAGTGTCATATTTTTATGGAAAGGTCATTCCATTGAAAAATTCTCACTACTGATGCTCCAGCAGATTACATTCAGTCTATAATTCCCATGTCAAGACTGACTTTCAGCTCTATACTTCCTGGATACAACATCAGGCCAATTTTAGGACTTTAGTCTCTCCATCCTTTGCTTTTGTAACACTTTAGCTACAGAAGATTTCTAGAGAACTCAAAAGTTTTCATACTCTTTCCTGAAAAAAATATTGAGATTTATTTGTTGTTTATTTGATTTATACCCTGCCTTCCTGCTCTGGGAAAGAAAACAAAGCAACAGTGTGATGGTCTTCAGCAAACAGTTGATATCATATTTTCTAGTAACAATATCAATCATAATTAATAGACAAAATTCTGTAAATTAGTTTTAAGAAATTTCTATTGACAACAATGTAATACATGATGTTGAGGACTAGCTCAAAAGCTCACACGTAGAGACAGCTAGAGGTAAGTTCCAAAGCAGCAGCAGAAGAAGTTGTGGAAGAAGATGTGCCTATTTTATGATTTTAAAAGAGATGCTTTGTATGCACTACTGTATCAAATGATTTGCAAATCCTTTTTCAGAGCTAACCCATTTTTTTTAATGATAACAAGATGTAATTATCTTTCACTAAATGTACCCTACACATCTGCATTGACTTAGTACTTAGAATTAATTACACATCTAATGCATTAGTGTTCACAGCAGATTGTTGAGAAAGTCTAAAGCAATGTTGAAAAAGTTATTCTTTCTGTAACGACTGTTTAAGTGATGTATGGTGTGAATGCAGAAAATGTTATTTTCAATACCTTGTTGCTTCTGGGGATCATAAATCTGCAGCCCAAACAGAGGGGATCTCTCACTTTTCAGAAGTGTCACATTTCTAGCCATCAAATCCAGTTGGAAAATAGAGCCATTCATATAATCTGTCCAGAAAATATAATTTCTATGATGTGATAGTCCAAATGGATGATTCAATTCTTTTCCACTGTAGACCACCTGCAATTGATTGACATTAAATAGTTGCTAACATTCAACATATTACCAAATGCCTTAGAATTTAACCAGGAATTAAGAAAAATGTTGGTGTATGTGAATGTTTGATTATATGTGTGTGCAAATGTATTAAAAGTTTTATTTATAGAAAGAAGCTAGTCCAATCTCTAAAGCACCCATCAAAATATATTCAGACAGTAAACCTATCTCCTAATTTTCTTTGTCAGTTTTTTAAAGGATGAGGAGAAAGAGAAAACATCCCTTCCTTTCATCCTGTTAGAAAATAACTTAGCAGAACTTTCAGTAAGGCTGACACTTTTCCCTCAGATATCTCATCCATTATTATGATTTCTCTGCCCTAATTACATTTTTCTAATAAAAATCCACACCAACCTAGTAGCCATATAGACATAGATTACTAAGATTAATATGTATTGATCAATGTTGTCATGCCTTAGAAAAATGTACTGGAAAAGCCATTTGTGCAAATTCAGTGGGCTAGTTGACCACAAAGAATCAAAACTTGGCTACTTGAAGGTGCTTATTGCTGCATTAGCCTCTCTGTTTATTCTTGGTTTCATCCAAGGGCATAAATAGTGTTCAGGGATTAACTGAGGAATGGGGGGAAAATACATTTTTTGCATGAAATGGAACAAAGAGAAACTGCAGTATATAGAACACTAATAAACTCCCTTTATAAGCAGATTCCTTACACTAGCCTTCCATAAACTGGGGCTTCAGATGCATTAGATCAGTGTTGTCCAAACTTGGCCACTTTAAGATGACTGGACTTCAACTCCTAGAATTCCCCAGCCAGCCATGTTCCCCAGCCACCCCATGCTAGCTGGGGAATTCTGGGAGTTGAAGTCCACTCATCTTAAAGTGGCCAAGTTTGGAC